TCCTTCCCCTCCCTTGCTCAGGCTCAGCTCAGGCAGGAGGAGGGCACGGGTGTGAAGGGTCCCTCCTGTTCTGCAGGCCCGCATTGAGGAGCTGGAGGAGGAAATTGAGGCAGAGCGAACCTCTCGCGCTAAAGCAGAGAAGCATCGGGCTGACCTGTCCAGGGAGCTGGAGGAGATCAGCGAGCGCCTGGAGGAAGCAGGAGGGGCCACAGCAGCTCAGGTGGAGATGAACAAGAAGCGTGAGGCAGAGTTCCAGAAGATGCGGCGGGACCTGGAAGAGGCCACGCTGCAGCACGAAGCCACGGCTGCCGCCCTGCGCAAGAAGCACGCGGACAGCACCGCTGAGCTGGGGGAGCAGATCGACAACCTGCAACGTGTGAAGCAGAAGCTGGAGAAGGAGAAGAGTGAGCTGAAGATGGAGATTGATGACTTGGCCAGCAACATGGAGTCTGTCTCCAAAGCCAAGGTACACAAATATTTTATTGGCTCCTTGACCCAATGGAATACAACACAGTTCTTGTACCTGGCCTTCTTTAGAGTGTGGATGGTTAACTCATCACTTTCCCTATGCTGAAACACAGGCCAACCTGGAGAAGATGTGCCGCACACTGGAAGATCAACTCAGTGAGCTTAAGACCAAGGAAGAAGAGCATCTGCGCATGATCAATGACCTCAATGCCCAAAGAGCTCGTCTGCAGACAGAGTCAGGTGAGACAGCAACATCTGCATGTACAGATCAATAATGTCTCAGAGTTACTGCAAAAATTACTCTTCTGGGCACATGGTCTGTTCAACACACTTTGGGTCACATCTACTGAGAAATGCTTGAAATGGGATTATGAGTTTCAGCATGGACTGTGAACCATCTGGTTTTACATCTCCAAATTTTTGCAGTGTCACCATCAATGGCATCAAAACCATTTTGTATCTGCATATTTTCTCAGGTGAATATTCACGCCAGATGGACGAAAAGGATGCTTTGGTTTCTCAGCTGTCAAGAGGCAAACAGGCTTTCACCCAGCAGATTGAGGAACTCAAGAGGCATCTGGAGGAAGAGATAAAGGTGATTCCTTCTCCCAGATGTGCTCCAGACACTTATGTGACTATTGAAGCACCATGATGAGACAGGGAAAAAAATCTCATGTAATTTGGTACATGTCATCTCATTCTAAATTTTACCTACAGTTTATCCACTACTCTTTTTTTCAGTCCCAGCTTCCTTCCTCATTGAGTGCATGGTTGTCTATTTCCATATAAGCATAATCCAGTGTCCAATTAATATTCAGTCAGATTTCCTGGGATATTTCAGTTCCATGACCCAATACCGTTGTTTCTGCAGGCCAAGAGCGCCCTGGCCCATGCCCTGCAGTCCGCTCGCCACGACTGTGACTTGCTCCGGGAACAATATGAGGAGGAGCAGGAGGCCAAGGGGGAGCTGCAGAGAGCCCTGTCCAAGGCCAACAGCGAGGTGGCTCAGTGGAGAACCAAATACGAGACAGACGCCATTCAGCGCACGGAGGAGCTCGAGGAGGCCAAGTACGTGGGGAAAGTGAGGAAGGCTAGCAGAGATTAAGAACAGAAATACTTGGAGACCACCGTGACATTGTCAGGAGGAAGTCACTATTCACCTTGGGGTGGGGGCAAAAGGAGAATAGCAAATAAATTCTGTAATGCATGGGGTGTGGGAGAAAAAATCACAGGCAAACATGTAGAAGACAGAGACTGGCAGAGAGACACAACATAATATGTAGAAAAATGGAAGAGGAATGTGAACCAGAGCCTGTGAAATGGCTAACCATGGTCTTGAGAAAAGCATCACAAAATTGAATTGCTTGCTGACTGTGACCTGCATTTACCAATGAACTTGTAAGACATCCTGTTACGAAAAGCTAATCAACCACATGCGAAAACTTCTCCTTTTCTCTTAAAACATAAGATATGTTTAACACAGGAAGAAGCTGGCCCAGCGTCTGCAGGATGCAGAGGAACATGTTGAGGCTGTCAATGCCAAATGTGCCTCCCTGGAAAAGACAAAGCAGAGGCTGCAGAATGAAGTGGAGGACCTGATGATTGATGTGGAGAGATCCAATGCTGCCTGTGCTGCTCTGGATAAGAAGCAGAAGAACTTTGACAAGGTCTTTTGGCCTCCAGCACCAGCACTCCTGGCCAGAGCATGCCCCTGTGATGGCCACAGCCCGACTCACACCCCGTTTCTCTTCAGATCCTGGCAGAATGGAAGCAGAAGTATGAGGAAACACAGGCTGAGCTGGAGGCCTCGCAGAAGGAGTCGCGCTCTCTGAGCACGGAGCTGTTCAAGATGAAGAATGCCTATGAGGAGTCCTTGGACCACCTGGAAACAATGAAGCGGGAGAACAAGAACTTGCAGCGTAAGTCCCTGGCCCTCTGCTCCCCTCGCTGGCCTTTCTCACAAACTCCTCTATCTGCCACACTTAAGGGCTCTGGGCCTGCAGGACATGCCTGGCCCCTTGGTGCAGCAGAGCCTTTCTCCATTCAGCTCTGTGCCTGACCATGCTGCTTTTCACCCTTCCTTGCAGAGGAGATTTCCGACCTCACGGAGCAGATTGCAGAAGGAGGGAAGGCAATTCATGAGCTGGAGAAAGTGAAGAAGCAGATTGAGCAGGAGAAATCTGAACTGCAAGCCTCCCTAGAGGAAGCTGAGGTAAAGCCCTCTGCTGTTAATTGACTAGTTACAACACAGTTCAGAGACTTCAAATAACATTTATGTAATTCTATGCATTGAGAATTGATTGGAGGCATAGGAAAGAGGGTTTCTTCACACCACTAAAATTATTGAATCCACAGGTATGCTTTTCTTCTCCTTTATTGTTAGCTCAGACCACTGGTTATACATTATTCATTAAGTTAACAATTTATGTAGAGTTGTTGACATTGTAACTTTCTTTTAATTAACTGTGTTTTACATTTTTTCTAGGCCTCCCTGGAACATGAGGAGGGGAAGATCCTGCGCCTGCAGCTTGAGCTCAACCAAGTGAAGTCTGAGATTGACAGGAAGATAGCAGAGAAAGATGAGGAGATTGACCAGCTGAAGAGGAACCACCTCAGAATTGTGGACTCCATGCAGAGTACTCTAGATGCTGAGATCAGGAGCAGGAATGAAGCCCTTAGGCTGAAGAAGAAGATGGAGGGAGACCTGAATGAGATGGAGATTCAGCTGAGCCATGCAAACCGCCAGGCTGCAGAGGCACAGAAGAACCTGAGAAACACTCAGGCAGTGCTGAAGGTATCACGTTACAGACCAGGTGTTCACTGGTTTCTTAAGCGGCTACAAATATTTCTCTTTTACACTTCTATCTTTTCTATATTAATATGAAAATGGAAAATAAGTAAATAGGAAGAATATGCCTCCCAATTTGTCGTATCTCTCTTTCCAGGACACCCAGATCCACCTGGATGATGCTCTTAGGACAAAGGATGACCTGAAGGAGCAGGTGGCCATGGTGGAGCGCAGAGCAAACCTGCTGCAGGCTGAAGTTGAGGAGCTCCGGGCAGCCCTGGAGCAGACGGAGAGGTCGAGGAAAGTGGCTGAGCAGGAGCTTCTGGATGCCAGTGAGAGAGTTCAGCTCCTCCACACTCAGGTAAGTTCTAGAACTGAAGACATGTAACACCTACAGCATTTAGAGAATTGAAATTACCAATAGATCTGTTATCCTTTTTAGTTGTAATATAACAATTAGTCTTCAGCAGTCTCTCATTGCCATTTATCAATTATTTGTATTCTTCATATAAAAGTGTAACAAAAACAAAATAAAAATAGGTAATTTGATTTTTCTAAAACTGGTATGAAGCAACTGGACAAAAATATATGCTTTTTTCCTTCAACAGAACACCAGCTTAATCAACACCAAGAAGAAGCTGGAAACAGACATTTCCCAGATCCAGAGTGAAATGGAGGACACCATCCAGGAAGCCCGCAATGCTGAGGAGAAGGCCAAGAAGGCCATCACAGATGTGAGTTGGGTACTTCTGGCATTGCTGATGATGAATGTAGTCTCCCCAAAATATCTCCAGTCCTTAAATGGCTTTGACCTTTCATTCTGATCAGGCTGCCATGATGGCAGAAGAGCTGAAGAAGGAGCAGGACACCAGTGCCCACCTGGAGAGGATGAAGAAGAACCTGGACCAGACAGTGAAGGACCTGCAGCTTCGTCTGGAGGAGGCCGAGCAGCTGGCACTGAAGGGAGGCAAGAAGCAGATCCAGAAGCTGGAGGCCAGGGTGTGTAGGGCTGGGGGTGTGCCTGAGTGAGCGTGTCCTTGCAGAGACATTGGCAGGGAAGCTGCAGGGATGGGTTTGTCCTTGCAGGTGCGGGAGCTGGAAGGGGAGGTTGATGCTGAGCAGAAGCGCAGCGCTGAAGCCGTGAAGGGCGTGCGCAAGTACGAGCGGAGGGTGAAGGAACTGACCTACCAGGTAAGGCAGGAGGGCTCCTTGGGCTGATGCACCCTGATTCGATCAAACAAAAGATGTTCTCATGGACTCCAAGGATAAATGCTATATTGTGGTGTGCAGAATGCAATAATTTTCTCTTCCCACTTTGCCAACACTGCAGTCTGAGGAAGACAGGAAGAATATTCTCAGGCTGCAGGATCTGGTGGACAAGCTGCAAATGAAAGTGAAATCCTACAAGAGACAAGCTGAGGAAGCTGTGAGTATTGCTTGGGGAAATAAAAAAGCATCTCTTCCTGCGGGTGTCACACAGGTGTCCCAGAGAGGAATATCAGAAATTTTGAAAATCATCAGCTGAGGAGGGGGACAGAAATGACAAATTGAAGGGGTGACACAGTCCTGGTGAAGCTTGTCCCAGTAGGATCCTGAAAAGGGGAGGATGAGGAGCTCTGTGTGAGGCTGGTGTGTGAGCACTGGTGGGAGGGGGATGGAGAGTTGCAGCCCCATAAGGCTGACTTGCAGCAGGAGTGAAACCCTTGTCCTGTGCTCCTGAGCCCTGACTCCCTTTCCCCACACAGGAGGAGCTGTCCAATGTGAACCTCTCCAAGTTCCGCAAGATCCAGCACGAGCTGGAGGAAGCCGAGGAGCGGGCTGACATTGCAGAGTCACAGGTCAACAAGCTCCGAGTGAAAAGCCGGGAGTTTCACAGCAAGAAAATAGGAGAGGAAGAGTGAGGATGTCACAAGGCAGCAAAGTGACCTGAGGGATGCACAAAATGTGAACCCTCTATCACTCCCTCCTGCAACAAGAGTTTATAAATTTGTCAGTGTCTAAGGGCTAAAGACCGTAGATTTCTTTGCATAAAAAGCAGTAGTTATATTTTAGTTTTGCTGTTATTTAAGTGTTGACTGTGTTCAAACAATTAATATTCAGGAGTAAACTCCTGAATTTTCTGGAGTAAGATTCTGAAACTCCAGTACTCCAACTACAGTAAGAGTAATAGGCATGAGAACACACAAATTTTTTCACACTGTACCACAGTGTTTCCCAGCAATGGAATTTGTGATTTAAAGTTAGAATATATAAATATTAAATAAATAATGTTCTTTAGAAAGAGAAATTGTAAACCTATGTTTTACAAGTTTACAAGCATACATGTCAAAAGGAACTGTTTTTATTTTCCAACACTGGAATTGAGAGCAACTCTGTTAACATGACACCATATAGAAATCTCCAAGTCTGACACCCTGAGGATACAGAGAAGCTCTAAACATGGTGTTTCCACACTGCCAAACAGTGCTTCCCATTTTCCTTTCACAGCAAAGCGTGAGCTTTTTTGTATAAGGGAACTGAAAACTGAACCTGTTTTCCTTTTCATTCCACATGGGGTAACACTGCAGAATATAATGCCTGAGCAGGACAAAAATGAGGAAAAGCTGGCCAAGAGGAAGAGGCAGCAAAGACGTTTCCCAGCCCCAGCCATTCTCATCAGTCCAGAAGGGCTATGCAGCCTCAGGAGGTGGTGAATCTGGAGAACACAGAGGTTTTCCTGAACCAGAGCAGAGGTTGTGACCAGTGGGACATCACAATGACACTCACACTGGAGCTTCCTTAGTCTGGAATAGGTGTTGAGAGGCAAGCTGCACAGCAAGCAGCAGTGCAGCTTCCCAAACCATTCACTAGACCCTGGCACATCAGCTACTGCTGAGGGAACAGTCTACAAACAGATGTGGGAATGGTAAATGAGACTTGGCTTTGACTAAGAGACACTTACTGGTCCCTTGAGGTTCCTGACTATCTCTACACCTCTACATTTACAGGGAGTACTTCAAAGAGCTGTGAAACAGCTGGGGAAGGGAGCTGGAGATACTGCACAGCCTTTTGCACTGACCACAGCAGTCAGTGTGTTAGTAGCAACAGTGCTCAGGACTGGGAACAGTCCTCCCAAACACACTGAGGTTTACACCCATAGAATCCTTCCATGTTACAACTAAATATGGAAGTAGTTTGCTAGGCAGCAGCTAAATGTATTTAAGGAAAAGATGACACCCTGTGTTGACTCTTGTGTCACTGTAAGTGATGCTCTTTAGAGACATCATCTCTATGTGTGAAGCTGTGAAAACTTCATCAGTGCCAGTGATATCTGGGCAACAAGGAAAAGAAACCTTGGTATCTTTTTAAACCTGCTGACAGACTAGTAAATATCACAACAACTTTGGGGACCGTATTTCAATGCCAAAACTCCCTGTTTTCTTTGGAAAATATCACAATCACCCTCCAAAATGAACAAGCTGCTCTGGCTGTGGAACAATCAGGGTGCACTGGAAGCACCTGAAACTGTTGGGGCTCCTCTCTCACCTGTAAGAAATTATGGCCTGAGGGTTTGTTCCTAAATGCTCAACTGACGAAAGGCAACATTGCAGGTTCCTGAAGAGACAACACCTGGGGCCAGAATTCCAACTGCACAGGTGGGAGAGGGAGAGAAATCACACACCTGGCACTGTGCTGACCTGGCCTTGCCATTGGCCATCCTGGAAAGCATGGCTGGAGACTTTTTGGAATCAGAGGGGCATATTAAAGGGGTGAGTAAGGAAAACCAATTTCTCCTCACTTCTGATTTGCTGCCTTGCCTGGAGGACAGGAGTCGTTTTGCATCAACACACTATTTCTGGAGTCAGGCTGCTTGTGATCTGAAATGTGCTGATGCACAGGTAACTGATCTTGAAGGAGCATGGGCCCATAACTGGCTGAAAGAAACAGCTCTCAGAGAAGGTTTAAAATAGTTGCAGCTGATGAGCTCCACTAGAGCTGCTGCCCCATGTGGCCTGTGGAGTTCTCTGACCTTCAACAGCTTGGGCATGGACAACTGTGTCTCCTGGGCACAAAAGCATCAGCACTTTAAGTGACACGAAGACATGGAGAAAGTATTTCTGACCTGAAGACACAGGTTTCTCACAGAGAATTCTTGCCAACAATTCAGCTTTCCAGCTCTCCAAGTACTCATTGTCTATGCCCTTAGCCCACAGCAACACTGCCTTGACCAGAAAGGGCTTTCTTCCGCACTGGCAGAAAATATGGGGGCCAAGGATTGAGGGACAGAAAGGAAGAAAGAAGCAAAGGAGGTAGATGGAGCAGGAGAGGGAGAGCAGAGGACAAGTAGATTCAGTACATACTGTAAGAAAGAAATGGAGAAAGAGAGTGAAACACAGAAAATGACAGAACAAAAAGATGGAGGAAGATTCTGAGAAAGATGAGAAAGAAAGCAATATTGAGAAAATGATACTGAGATGTGGAGCAACAAAATTCATGAAGAGGAGGGGAGAAAGATACAGAAAATAGAGGTTGAATGAAGGAAGAGAAAGGGAGAGGAAGAGAGCAAACAATTCAGCATCATTTGGGTGTTGGTACCTGACAACCTGACACTAGTCTTAACTCAGCTGCTTTTGATCACTGCTCTTGTGAACCCCCTGTACAGCAACCATATCATTCCAAATTCCCTACAATGGGTGCCTTGCTAAGAAGACCAAGAGAGTGCCTTGAGAAACAAATCTGTTTTCTGAATCTCTGCTGTGTCCTGGTACTGCAGGAGGGGCAGGCAGCTTGTGTGTGGTGCCTCCTCACATCCCAAGGCCTTGTGAGCAGTGATGTTACAAGAAAAGGCTGAAAATACTGAAGTGCAGCAGCTCAGGAAAGCAAAAGTGCTCGTGGGGACTGGGAAGGATGAGGAGAATGTGAGACACTCATTGGAGAGAGGAGAGAATGGGTTCACAATGTGGGCTTGGCATGACACCTGGCTACCAGTTTGCAAGCTGGTAATACCTCTAGACACAGAATCTAAAAGTGATGGTGTTCATGGCAGACATTTATGTCTGTGCACAGGGTATTAGAACTCAAGCTAGGCAGGAAGTGTTTTCATCCTTAAATGCTATTGGAAATGTCCAGAATTTCCTCCTCTTTTGGTATTCTAAAGCACTTTTTAATGTTTGTCCCATCCTGGATGATACCTGTCTTGGCTAGCCAAAAATCTGTCCTTAATGAAGAATGGACTATGTCCATGCCTCCACATTGAATACAGAACTACTGAAATCAAACAAGGAGATGCTTAGAATTAACACAGAGAAAAACCTGGTTTTCCTAGGAGTGATTTGAGATTGTGAATAAGCCCTTGTGGGAGTGAGGGGAAAACAGGCATGAAAAACATAATATAGCATAACCTACAATAGTTCTGTGTGTAACTGCCTGAACCTTACTCTCTAGCAATTTTTAGGTTTTTGAACCTAAAAACTGGTTTTTAGGTCATAAGTTACATGTGACAATTCTTAAGAAGAGTACAGCCACATCTCAGACAAGAATAATATGTATATTTCTTCAAATCATGACATTCAAAAGCAAGGTTATCAAAAACAGATGCCTTTATGGCACCTATGGCAATCTGTCAGTGATTTCAACTGCTCAATGTGTTCTCCGATGTTTTCTGGGAGGAGCAATCACTTCTGCAAAACTACACTATTTTAGTAACCCTGATTTCCTTTTGATCCAGATCTACCTTCGACCCCTTCTATCACCTGCTGCCTTTCTTCTTGACTGTTCCACCCAGACACCACCCAGCCTGCTCACCCCACACACCTGTTCCGTAACAGGAGCTCCTCAGCTGCTTTGCTGAGTGATGGAAAGGGCACTCTGAAGGTCATGTCCTCATCCAGGACCCAATCTCCAGATCTCTTCTCTGGATGCTTCCTGGAAAGACAGGAGGAGCCTAAGTAACTGTGCAACTTTGATACTCACTCAGCACCTGCCCAGGTGTTATATTTTTACCTTCTGCTTCACTTCACAGTGAAGTGATGCTGAGATATCTTTGGAGCTGCAGTTTCTCTCTTCCTTCTCTCTCCTGAAATACAGAAATGTGAAATGTTATATATGTGATATATTATACTATACCATTAAGCTATACCATAAATGCATTGCAAAAATTAATCTTGAAGCAGTCTCAAGAGAGTACAATTAGGAGACAGAAGCATCTTCACAGTCCCTCCATCCTTTTGATGCATGGGACAGGGCAGTCTTCACAAGTTCTAGCCCCAGAAATACTAGCTTACTTTTGCCATGGCTAAAATTTCCCTGTACCTATTCTGTAACTCTCCCCCTGAGTATTTTTAAGATCCTGGGGGTTCTGTTGATTAACCTGTTTAACTCAAAAAACAATTAACCCTTCCAGTCTTACCTCATATGGAATTCTTGAGCTGCATAGCACTACAACACCACTTTGGGCATGACACTTCCTACAGGGAAGCATGCATTTCACTAAATCCATGCACTTCATTAGTCAACAGGAGAAAGGGATGTTAGGTCGAGGGAAGTGTGTCCTACCATCTCCAGAGTCCAGTGCCCAGCTGCATCTTAATAGTGGGAAGTGTTGGGATGAGAAGCCTTGCTCTGAATGTTCAGTGTTTCAGCAATTCTGTTTCTTTGGTGCTAACATTCCTGGCAGCTCTCGTTTTACACGGAGGGCAGCAGAAATGCTGCTGCAGCAGGAGCTGAGCATTCCCTGTCAGAGGGCTCATCAGGGGTCCACAGAGCACACTGATGCCTCCAGCATGCCCTGTCATACAGAGAGGATGGCTGACAACAGCACAGGCAAGCTGAAAATCCCATGGGGAATGATTTTCAAATAGTGTTGCACTGAATAATCCACAGATTTATAAGATCTGACCACATTTTTTCCCTTTTTTTCTTTCTTATTTTTTGTTCTCTTTCTGGAGATCTTGATAGTGTTCATTACTTGTGAATCACAGTTTAGTCTTTTGTCTGACAAGATTCACATCTGGCACAGCTGAGTGTAAAGAAGAAAAAATACTGTTCATAGCAGGGGAATACAATTGCTTCTGTGATAAGATTAGCAATGGCAGCCTGAAGGCATAATTGTTCTATTGGTGACCATTCAGAGGCATGCTGTGATAGCAACAGTGCTGCACCAAGAATAATTTTATCAATGTGATTAAGATAAAAATGATTTTTAAATGAAAGCTGTTTGTGAAGCTAGCTCTAGGTTACCAAAAATCCCATGGGAGTTACTTGTGAGTTTTTTGGTTGCAATGAAGATTTGAAGAGCATCTAAAAAGC